GTATGATTTTGAGAGAGAGAGAGAGAGAGAGAGAGAGAGAGAGAGAGAGAGAGAGAGAGAGAGTATGTGTTATCATTATCATTGATATTAAAAGTTTGAATTAAGACCTGGTTGTTAAGAAGAAAGTTGAAAATGGGTGTAATTTCTACTTTAAACGAATATGAAACAAAAACAACCTGGTGGGCCGCTCACTTCACATACTGGACCACACTATCCCATTAAATGTGGCCCATTTGGACGAGATGCTTCTCAGCCCATAATCTTTCTGTTGGTTCGTCTCTATTGACCCATATATCTACCCTAACCCCTTCCAATGTTCGCAGCCCACTTCCACTCGAAAGGCTGCCTCAACTACCCATCAGCCCCCAAGTCTAATTAAAAAGTCCAAAAAGTTTCTAGCCCTTAGATCCGGACCAAGTTGTCCATTTGAGGAAAATTTCGTTGGATGCCACTTCAATTTACAGATTTAGCCCTGGTTTGATTTAGATAAAAACCATATTTTTAGTATATTTTGATAAAAATTGATGAAATGTGTGGTTGAAAAATTATAAGTCCCATAAAATATATAGTTACACAAGTTCTTTTGCCAAAAAAAATTGTCACCTCGGTTCACATACATTGACATTGGAGTGGGACCCGCGTAGGACCCATGTAAATAAAAAATTCCAAAAAAAAAAAATGATCCCCCTATTGCGAGTGTGCGGTCAGGGAGAGTGTCAAACACTCCGGCAGCATAGAAGCTTCGTAAATTTTGATAGAAAATAATGAAATGTGTGATTGGAAAGTAGTGGATCCCATAAAATATTTGATTAAAATTAATTGTTGATTTTGACTTAATTCCACTGTGCAAGGCAAAACAAGAACCAAGTCACACATACCGCCAGTCATGCATGTGAGATTGGCTACTAGTTCCGTTCTTGTTTAGGTATGAAATGAACCAATTGAAGTAAAACTAGTTGTTGGACCTAACTGATCTTTTAATATTTTCAGTTCATTTTCTGAAAATAAATTTAAGAAAAGGATCATAAATAACAATTATCCATACATTGGCAGTATTCCGATTTCCAACTACTTGTTTCGACACACGTTAAACACTATTTTACACGTTGCTTTCCACTCAATGAAGTCCCGATTCTATAAATTCTAACCCCTAAACACACCAAAAACTGCACAAATTTTCCTACATATTTTCACTTTCTTTTACTCCATTTTCAAGACTATGAAGAAGACTGGTTGTGCTGCACTGTACTTAGTGGCGGTGGTGCTACTGCTCGGCGAACTGCGTGTGAGTGAAGCAGTTACTTGCAATGCGTCGGAGCTAAATCCTTGCGCGACGGCAATCACATCGGGGCTGCCACCATCGGCCGCCTGTTGCAGTAAACTCCGGGAGCAGCAGCCTTGCCTTTGTGGATATCTCAAGGATCCAACTCTCAAGCAGTACGTGAATTCCCCTAATGCCCGAAAGGTTGTCAGCAACTGCGGTGTGCCCACTCCAAGTTGCTGAAAATAATATCAAGATTGCACCATTTATGTAAAATAAGGCATGTTTTGTATTTATAGGCAAAACTAATCTAATAAAATGATTATGAGTTTATAAAAATAAGGAAGAATAAGTGTTTTTCGGCTTTTAAAAGAAGAAATCGATACTCCAAAAATAACAAAAGGGATATTTTCACAAATGTCCACAATTAAGGGTGTGAGTTGAAAAGTGTCAAATTTTCAAATTTAATACTAAAGTGTCTATTATGCCCTTAATGAAAAAAAATGCCATTTGAATCT